GTCTTATGTTTGTGAAGCTGGAGAAGGTGATGTTACAATGCAATTCAGGTTACTGCTTCTTTTTGAGAGGCAGGGTCGTTACAAAACTTTGAGTTTGTATAGACCCCTAGCTACTGACAGGAGTCTGGCCCAGCCAAAGAACCTCCATGAGGACCACTTCATGGAGAAGCAGAAATTGGATCAATGAAGGGGGCAGCCTTAGTCATCAGTAAGGTTTACTCGGTATCTTTCCAGGCTGACAGTGCAGGCACATGCTTCTAAAATAAATTGTACAGCATTACTTCTTATGGTACCATTCTTTAAACTAATCTTAGCTGCTTCTCCCTCATGGGCAACTGGTGTCGCCTTAGTCAGGGGGGGCAAGTGCCCCCCAAGCGACCAGTCAGTGACTGGCGGGGGGCTTCAGCAGGCACTCCCACTCCCCGGTCAGTGCTCCCAGGGGGGCACTAGTGGGCCCCTCTGCCCGTCGCCTAAGCGAGAGGTGCAGCCTGTCAGGGGGAGCACCAGCTCTCAGGGGGTGTAAATGCACCCCTGTGGAGCCCCTACACCTTGCCACTGTTCTCCCTAATACATTTACTTTAAACTTTTATAGAAATTTTGCTTTTACATCGGTTTAATCAAAAGTGAAATGATTCTATTTTATAGGCTCCTCCCTTTAAGCTGCAGTATGTATGATCTTTGAGTCAGTGCACAAGAACACCTACTAAGGAATATGCAAACCTAAATGTATGTGTTGGAACAGCTTCCTTACCAATTGTGAGAGATTAAGCTACTGCATACTGTATTTTAGTGACAGAAATAAATAATCCAAGATTTCCATTAGGAGTCGCTTTGATTTTCTTGCATCACTGAAAAGCAGTGGCCTTGTGTGTATGTATCTTTAGGCTGCAGTAAGACTTCTGGATGAGGAATCAGCCGGAAGGTAAAAGACTGGTGATGGGCACACATTAATTTTTTCATCTATATGTTATAATGATTTTGACTTCACTTGCTCTTCTGTGGTGGTGGTATCTCTTCTGTGATCAAAGTGAAGCCAGAGTTTTAGATTGTGGTTAGACGTGGTATGGAAAGACCCTGAAGTGTGGTACCTTTTCACTTGTGACCTGTAGAGCTTTTCTCTGCCTTGCTCCCTCTGGCAAGCAGAGATCCAAATTTGCAAGAGGAAGGGGTAGGAATAGCCATGCTCATTTTCTAACTCAGAAGACAGTAACTGAACTAATCTGTAGCTCCTTGTCCGAATTCTCCATTTGTTCCTGGAACAGCTTCCATTTCTGTCTGAAGATGAACTCAAGAACTTTTATTTTTGCGAAAAGAGAAAAGTGAAAGAGGGTGCAAGAAGAAAGCAGAGTAGGGGCCTGACTCCGGGTCTCCCACCCCCAAGTGAGTGCTCTCACTGCTGAGCTGTGGGCTATTCTGGAGTTCCTCTTATTTTGACCAGAAATTGTCTCCTGATCCTGAAAAGCTTTTTTTTCTGAAGAGCTTTATGAGAACTAGTTCATTCCTGTGGAAAGTTTGGTCTTTGATTTGGTATATTCCAACAAATAGCTGTTCTGTCAGAAGATCTGTGACCATTGTTGCCATAATTTCCTGCCTGCTGGTGGGACTTTGAGAGAGCATCTCACAACAGATTGCCAAGCTGTCCTGAGACCTGGAAGCTGCATGAGAAGAGGCCTCTGCATAGTTCCCTCCTCCCACGTCCATTGGGGATCTGTAGATTTAAGGAAAGAGATATACCCACTGCCTTCAAAGGAGGGAAGGGAAATTACTGCTGCCTCCAGATGGACGAATGTGGGATTGCTTTCCTTTTTGTGAAAAACAGAGTAAGAGAAGCGGGGCCCAGGAACACTAGGCCTAGCATATTTGCACTACTGCCTGAGGTCAGCTCCAACAGCTAGGTCAAATGGGGTGATTTTATTTGTACCTCTTGCCACTAGATGAAGCAAACCAAATGGAAAGCTTTTGGTCACATCCTCAAGTAGTGCTGTTTATTTGTCACTGCTAGTAAGTGATTTTGATCCATGACAATGATCAAAAGAGGCTGTGCATACTAATATCCATAAAGCTTTACTACAGAGGTTTCCAAAACTGCTACTCGGGAAAGTGAGAGACATGAACTAAACTAAGAAGTTTGGGGGATTGCTTTTATTTTATTTGTTCCTGAGGGGCAATTAAAATACAGCATTAATTTAATGAATCGGGACCAAATCAGTTTATCAAGATTTTTGCTGACACCTTTTCCCTATAGCATCTCTTAGCAGAGAAGAATAATGTGTTAAACCGCACACGAAGGTAGTTAGCTATGTTAGTCCATAGTCAGGTAGAAGGCAGGGTAAACTATACAAAGCCAGTAGTTCTAGGATCTTTCTATTTAAATAGATTATCCAAATACATTTCTCTTACTTCAGAGTTACTTCTGGTAACTTTTTCTTTGTTCCTAGTTTACAGTTGTCCTCCACTCCTTTAAGTGCCTGTTTTCTTTTACTCATGGACTTAAACACAAGTCATCGTTTTTTCTGGTACTTAATTGCAGCTGCTTCTGTTCCAGACCTGAGGAAGGACACTTGCTTGAGAGCTTGTCTAATATATCTCCTTGTTAGAGTTAGTCCAATAAAACATCGCAAAAAAAATAAAAGCCAATGAAATAAAAACAACAACAAATCTTGCATCTTTGTATACATCTGCTGGGACAATCATACCTATTCTTTTCTTTCTTTTTCACTGATCTTTCCCTTTGTTTCTACCTCCATTTTTTTTGTTGCTGTTTGGAGTTGTCTGTAAGAACCAACTCAAAAAAATTTGAATAAATATGAAAATAAATTCTAAAGACTGAGGGGTGGTTTTGGTGTTGCTGTTCATGGTAAGGGTCACTTCACTTTGATAAGAGTGTCCCCTTTGTGTTCTCTGACATTTTTTTCTTTGATCTGCTGAGTTTCATATCGCTGGTTGTATTACAACATTAGAATACCTTCTAAATAAAGGAAAGGCTCATTGGAGCTATTAATTCAGATAAAGAATTTAAAACAGCCTCATGCCCAAACAACTTGTATTTGCCAAAATTTCTGTTTCAAACAGGTGCCCTCTGCAGGTCAGTGTTATCAACCAAGGTGATCCGAATGGCATCCCATTTTACCTTTGCAAATCAAGAACTAGCTGCTCTTAGCAGTCTGAGTCAACATCAAAATGGAAAAAAAATCCTGGACAGCAAATCTGAGCAAGTAGGAGGTGAATGCCAAAAGAGAAATGCAGGAAGACTGGGTTCTGAGTGATAAGCTTTTGTTTTGTTTCTGAACACCACTTCTCAAAGAGGGGGAGAAAGGGAATGAATCTAAGTGACTGAAATGACCTTCAAGCTTCCTCCTACTTCCTCCAATGCTGGTAATGTGAAGTTTGAAATCATGGCTTAGGATCGACTGGCTAAAATCAGTAATCCACGGATAAAGTGGTACAGTTAGCTAACAACATGTGGGGCATTAGATACTAGGAGACAGAACTGGCGATGCAAATCAAGAGAGAAAGAGAAACCACCAAAATCAAATGCAAAGAGAAGATAAAATGAAAGGAGGCTTTCTGTTCCAAAGAGAACAATTTTCCTCAAATAATCAGACTTTCAATTTAAAAACAGAGAGAGAGAATTTGCCTAATCCTGAGAGAAAGGAAAGAGGCAGTAGGAGCTGTGTTAAACTGGGTAGCAACATGCCACTTGGTTGCATGTAGACCAGGAGTTGTCAACCAGGGATATGTGTACCACTGGGGGTACTTTGAAAGGTCCCAGGGGGTATGCGGGGGCAGGCCAGAGGGAGTGCTGCCACCCAATGCCACTGCCTCTCAGGAGCAGGGCAGCACAGATGCTGCTCGCCACCCCCCCTCTCCCCCCCGGCTGTACTTCCAACAGCTCACCACCCCTGCTCAGTGTCTGGCTGCTCCCTACTCCTCCCTGGGGTACATTTATTAAAAAGGGGGCTGCCGGGGGTACACTTATTTAAAAAGGTTGAAAACTCCTGATGTAGACAATTGCCTAACACAGTGGTCACCAGCCAGTGGATCTTGATCCCCTGGTAGATCTTGGAGTTGATGGGGCTGGGGTATGGGGCTGAATGCCTGTGTGCATGCATGCGTGTGTCCCAGCCCAGCAGGTCAGTCCATGGGGGAGGGAAGAGGCTGGGGCTAGATCAAGGCCCCTGTGGTGAGGGACAGTGCCGCAGGAGCAGGGGTAAGTTGAGTGGGGCCCCAGCCGGGTGGGACTTACCTGTTGGAGAGGCATGCCCCCAAATCATTTTTTCTCCCTCTGCCTCTATCTGCCCCCCATAGACTTACCTGCTGGTCAGGGGTGGGGGTGGTGGTGGCGCAGGGTAGATCTTGGGTTACTTTTAAATGCCAATGGTGATCTACTTAAAAAGGTTGGAGACCACTGACCTAACAGATACAAGAGGTACAGCACCAAATTCTACCAAGAAGGCAAATACTTGATGCACATTATCCACCTTAGATCCCAGTTTTTGTCATTGAGCAATGCGTGTGCAGCTTATGGTGATCAAATATTTTGAGTGGGCTACACAAAGGGCTGCAACCATAACTGAAGGCAGGGCAAGGTGGCAAATTAGGCTAAAATAGATGGAGAAGAGATCAAAAGTTGTTCTTGCTTTATTTTGTTCTGTAATGCAAATTCCTCTTCTGGATGCCAGAAGTGGCAGCAGCTCTGCACCTGAACACAGTGAGGAAGAGAGGGGAGGAGATAAGCAGCTGGACGTTGCTGCTTTCTGCTCTGGACCTGACGTCACAATAGCTAGTAATTAAACTTTGCAGCTGGGCAGTAGCTGAAAGCAGAACAAGCTGGGGGAGCAGAAGCAGTAGGTGGGTGGAGGGGAAGCTGCTGCCTGCCCCAGAGGAAATTATTTCTGGCAAACATCACAGATAGCAGAGGTAGCTGACTAAAGGTGCAAGAGGAAACTCAGCCAGCAACTTTAATCTGATTTTTTTTTTTTCCTTCTTCCCCATCACAGCAGTGACCATCTCTTAGTTGAGCACAGTGTATCATCTCATCCTAAAATGCTTTTCTGGCATACCCAGCATGAGCCCTATCACCATCACCAGTTTCCCACGAGTAACAACAGCTATCTGCGGTAAGAAAACAGTGATTGGGTTTGTTTTTAATATTTTCCAAACAACAGATATGTACAAGAAAGAAGTACATACTAAGAGAATATGGTTTTTGGGAAAGGACCTGGCTGATCCACAAATCTAAGGGTTCACTGAAGGAATCTAGTAAAAGCACCACTTTGCAGATAGTGTTTCATTACTAGAACTTTGTTTTTACAAATTGTACTACAGGGTATATCTGAATAACAACCACAGTATATTTTTATAGAAACATATTCACCATTGTGAAATCGAATTGGAATAATTGAAACATGCAGTGATGGCTAATTTGTCATGCAATTTATACAAAGTTTGTGTGTTTTATGTACATAAAATAATCATAAACTTTAAGAGACACCAACGTGTCTACTGCATTGTGTTTGTTTATTTCTACTTCATCTGAAGGAAAAATGGGGGATTTATAATAGTTAAAGTTTAATATGTGCCAATGAGACTCAAACCTGAAATTGTGACACAATATGTAATCTATTGCATTGGAATTTGTCCATAAGCTGTGAACTTGCCTTATCTTTTCAGAAATTAAATGTAATGGTTATGGTATTCAAGCTGTTACTTAATACTAAAATTATTATTCTTTATAATATACTCTTCTAAAAGCATTCAGATAAGTTTCAGAATAGCCTTGCCTATTGCATTTAAAATCTTTGTTCATAATTTGATTGACATTAATTTGCATTAATCTTAAATTGACACATTTGGGCAAATATTTTGCATGCATGTAAGAAACTTTTAATAGCATTAAAAAATATATATATATATATATATTTTTTTTTAAATAATGTAAAGTATCACAACAATTTTACTCTTGTCCTTTTAAACTTGTTGAATAGGATGCTTCTATTGGAGAAATACTTATTAACTTACACTTTAACAATAAAATTAAAACTATATATGAGTTTTGGTGACCCAAACAAATGGAACTTCCGTTCTTTGGTATGAAAGCAATAGAATTGTGCAGCAGAGTTGTATATAACTAAAACTTAATGTCAGTACAGACTTCAGGTAGTATGAAATTCAGACAGGCTAATAAGACTTCTTTTGTACTACATTAAGAGATCATGCCACTTTGACACTAGCATTTAGCTAAAAATCCAAGCTCTTGAATATTCAAATTTGGTGGGGAAACCAGAAAATAGTGTCTTTGCTCACAATTCCAAATCCCTTTTCCCAATCAGCACTTAACCTAAAAAGTATTTTCAGCACTTGTTCAGATTGGGTGGGTCCTTAGGTTTTTCTCTACTCCTTCCTTGTATTTGTTTCTGCCTTTTCTTATGCATGTCATGTGCGCACACTCTCTCACAGTAATGCTTCTACACAAACAGTGACAAATTCAGCCTTACTCAGTGCATTGCCAGGTACAGTTAATGTGATGCAATAAACTCTGTAGCCGTTTGAGCTGGAGGAAACTGTTTCTGGGTGCAGCGTCTACACGTGTGCCCAGAACAGTAGTAATTTGAGCTGGGGTGGAGCAGCCCTGGGCTGGAAGGGGCGTAGGAGGTCAGCCCTGGGTGGCTGGGCTGGCTGGGGCATAAGAGTGCTGACAGTCTGGAGCCATGTGGCTGGCTAGACGGCAAGTGGCTCCTACTCTTTAGCACCCTTGTGCCTCAGCCAGCCCGTCACCATCGACATGTGCGTTTCAGCGCAGTTATTCCGCCATAAGATAGTACTGTCCCCAACAGTACTATGTTACAGAGTAGTTAATTAGTTTACTGCACCCTAATGCCAGCACACATGTAGATGGTGATGCTTTACTGTGGAGCTAATTAGTCAACTCTGTAGTAAAGAACAAGTGTAGATGCACCCTTTGCCTATGTCTTGTGTGTGCCTTTGGGTGGTGACATGGCTGTATTTTAGTTTGGAGGTCTGGTTCAGTGGGACAACTCATGTGAATTAAGTTAAATGTGTATATGTATTTTCAGAATTAGGACCTAAAATTAGTCTAGATAAGTAATCTAAATAAAAGCAGCATGCTCAAATTTGGGCCATTTATTCTCAACCTGGGTGCTGGGCCATCCTGGGGTTCCAAATGATCTTTTGAAAGGTGATATAAGGTGTGAGAAAATAAGCAGGTGTGAGGAGATGAGCATATGCTCAGGGTCATCCCTGCCTGGCCACTGGGAAAGGTTACTGGGAAAGAGGCTAGCACTGGGGTAAAGTTTCTGAAATTGGGTGCTGTTCAGTTCACAAAGGTTATGGGAGGGGGATACCTCGAGTCAAACAAGGCATGCTTTAAGTCTGAAAAGTTTTTAAGAATCACAGCTGTTCTTCAGAGGCAGATTTCTATTGAAGTTTTAGGCCCCAGACCTTCAGCTGAAAGAAATCGGGTATCTGTGAGGAAACAATAGTCCTAGACTTCGTTGCAAGATCCAGCTATTTTCTTCTGCATAGACACTGCAGAAGTCTGCAATTACATGATCACTTTATTCCTTAAATTCCATTTAGTAGAATCTCCTTGTTAAACTTAAGCATGCCAAATGTAGCAGCCTGTTGTATTAATAACATCTGAGTTTGTGTGTGTGTGTTCGGGGCGGGGTTCTTATGCTTACACTAGAGCTACATTTGTCAGTACACCTTACATTATTTCAGTCTGTATCTCAGTGACCTGATCCCACACCTGTTGAAATCAGGGTCAATAGAATCAGGCCTATTAGGCAGTCACCAAAAGCTCTGCTTTTGCTTTTCATGATGCCTTCTTTAGTCACAGCTGAAAAGCTGAAGTAATTGATGGTGCAGTAATTTAACTCTATAATCCAGTGGTTAATATGACAGCAGGTTATCACTATTAAGCTTCCTTATTTACCCATAATCTGTGCATAACTGACCCCACTTTGGGGTTTGAATTCCTGAACTTCCACCATGAAAAGCATAAGCTTTAGCCACTTAAGGTAATGGAGTATATCTTCAAAGTTTGATGCTGAGCATTGCTATGCCTATTTTTTTTTTTTTAGAAACCTGGCTTCAGGAGTAGAATCCAGAGCCATGAGTGTGATGCTACACTCGCTATGTGGTGCATGGATAGAATTAAGTATCTTGGGATGGGATTCACAACAGCCAATTTACTCAGTGGAGACCTACTCAAAATATTCAATATAAAATGCTGAACACAAGAATGAATCTTAAATTCATGATGTATGTAGGAGAGAAAGCATGAGCACAAGCTTTTGTGTGTGAGAGAGGGATCTTAGACTGTAAAGGTGCACATCTACCTTGCCTTCTCTAGGCCATGCTGAGAGATGGCTCACATCTCTCAGAGTACAAACTGCGAGAAACAAGAGACGGTCTCACTGATGGCAAAACAGCTCTTAGAACACAGGGTAGAGATGCACCTTTAGGCTAGGGACAGAAATTACACACAACTCGTATAAGTGATCAGAAACCAGTTAAAATATGTAATACAAAAGAAGTTCAGTGCACACAAATTGCTTTAAAAATGGCTGAAACTAGCTTAAGAAAAGCCTGGATGGATGTAGACTTCACTGATATAGGTTAAATTGGTTTATTGAACTTTTTTGTCCCAGATTCCCTCCAGATTCAAAGTAACTGGCAGTCCCCCAGCATTCCAGGATGCTTTGCACCTCTACGTTGCAGGGTTGGCATCACAGGTGACTGGTACAGTGCACACGGGAGGAGGGCATGAGCCTCCCCCCCCCGATTGCCCCTGACTTGGCACCGGTCAGGGCGCAGCAGTTTTTGTTGTTGCGCGGGCTTGTTGTGGGGGCGAGGGGGGCACTAAACTGCGGCACAGAAGTATAGGAGTGGATATGGGGCTTTTGGCCCCTGGGCCGCCTCCATCAGGCCTGCCCACAAATTTTGCCTCCACAGACTCAGGAGGCACTAGTCACCCCTGGTGGGCAGCCTAGCCTTGGCCCAAGCTGTCTGCTCCAGGCTAGCAGGGAGGCATGCTCTAGTGCCTCCTGTCTTCTGGCCTGGGCCGCTGCAGGCCTGTGGCTACATTTTTAGAATCAAAAGTGGATGTCTCTTCTCTTGCTCATGGGTTCAATCCACACACATGACAAATGAATCGATTCAGTGTCAGGCTTTTTGACAGTAGGCAGTTAGCTTTAAAGATTGAAGTAGATAGAGGAATAGACATCTCATTGAGGTGGATATTTAGTTGAAGTGAATGTGGTTCACGCAAGCTAGTGCTGTACATGTATCTGTCTCTTGATATGAGCAGGGAGCTTGTGGAACAAGGCATCAGCTGCAGCCTGACTTTGACCCACAGCCGTAGTCCCTGGTTGACTCCGGACTCTTCCCTTACTGCGTGGGTATGTGGTGACCCTCAGCTCAGGAAAGCCTGTGCCTCGTCCATGTCCTGTGCGTGACGTCACCGCGCGTGTCTGTCTGGCACGTGTTTCCGTGCAGCTCCGCTCAGCGCACCTCCAACCTTTGCCTCTGCCGCCCCTCCCCCTACGCAGGGGGCTGCTGGACAGCGCCTGTCCTGGCTCCGCGTCGACCCGCCCAACGAGCGCTCCTCCGCCGCTGACTGGCTCTTCCATCTCTACCTTCTCACTGGGGCACAGAGTGCGTATAAAGTGTGCGACGCCATGTGGCGCAGTGCAGGGCACGTGCGTCACGGCGCTCGCCAAGTCCTGCCTCTAGCAGTTGGAGGTGAGGCCGCCAGCCGACCACAGCCCCCAGCATGCCTTGCGCCTGCCGGAGGTCTCGCAGGACTCGGGGTGGCGCGACGCTACCTCCTAGGCTAATAATCCGGCGTGAGTCGTGCGGAAGAGCCCTCCCCATTGGCAGTGGCACCCCCCCCTGCCGCTC